CCCTCAGCTCTGGGACTAACCCCTTCAGCTCTGGGACTAACGCCCTCAACTCTGGGACTAACCCCTTCAGCTCTGGGACTAACCCCCTCAGCTCTAGGAACACCACTTCCTTCTGAGCACAAGCTTGTGTTGAAAATTTTTCTTATTTAGAAAGTCCTTTCTTATTCTTTTATTGATTGTCATCTAAGGATACATTTATTAATTTGAGGAGAGAGAGGAGAAATACCGATCGGTTGCCTCCCTTGCATGCCCTGACCGGGGACTGAACCCACGCCCTCGGTATGTGCCTCGACCAGGAATTGATCCCACCACTCTGATGATGCTCCAGCCAACCACCTGAGACCCGGCCAGGGCTCCTTACTCTGCACCCACATTTTCCTCCCTATAACTTTTTGAATTCACCCCAGTTCTAGAGAAGACCCGCTGCCTCCTCCTGCTGCTCACCTCCGCGGGGACTGAAGGGCTGCTTTCATGAGTCTCTGAGCCCCTTGTCCCCACACTACGCCTCCCCGGGATCCCAGCCCTTCCCTGTCGCCTGTGCCTGCAGCCCTGGGCACACTCCTCACCCTGCCGGTTCTCTCGGAGCCACACACACTGTCCCACCTCTCCCACCTGCCAGCTGTAAGACTGGCCGTCCCTTAACCTGTGCCTCAGTGTCTTGGTCTGTAAGACGGGATAGTAATGGTCCCTACCTCCTCGGGTGATTGTGAGAGTTACATGAGTTAATATGCAGAAGGCATTTGGGCAGTGTCTGGCCCACAATAAGCATTGTAAAAGGAAGGTAATTAGATGTTTTTTATTCAGTTTTGAATGAAATGCGCTTAGGAAAAAAATAAATATAAGAACTAACATCATCCAAGTAGAGTGACGTTATTACTTTGATGAGAACATTGTTTTTATTAAAGCAATGTGGAGTTTTCCAGCTAAGATGCACTGTAGTTTCATGTTAAGCTGCGGGTTGGAAAATTCTCACGTTTTTATATAATTTACTTTTAAATCATTTCTCCATCGCCCTCTTATTTATTTCTCATCGACCTAAACAGGAGACACTTCTCTTTGCACAGTCCACCTTATTAGCTGTAGCCTGTCATTTACTCTTTCAGCATAATTTGAATCCTAACGTTGTCGTCCAAAGTGTTAGCACTTAGCCTTGTCCTTAACTAACCTGATGACTGTGTGTGTCTCTCTCACTTTCTGTTTTCTCCCAAGTTGTTGATTAAAATGCTGGTGCCTCACCAATTACTCCAAAACCTCGTGTCTTAAAGTGACAGTAATTACGATTTTTCAGGTTCGTGTGGGTGGGTCAGGAGCACAGCCAGGCACAGCCAGGCTGGCTCACTGTTGCGCCATGATTTCTGGGGCCTCGTCTGGAATTTTCAGAGATTGGGGCTGGGATCATGAAAAGGCTCATTCACTTACACATCTGACGCCGGTGCTGGCTGTCAGCGGAGGGCTTTGCCGGGGCTGCTGGCCAGAGCACCACACGTGGCCTGTCCACGTGGCCACAGCATCCTTAGAGCATCTGGCTGGGTTCCACGGGCAAATGTCCCAAGAGAAAGCAGTGCTGGGTCAGAAGCTGTATTCCTTAGGGACCTGGCCCTGAAGCCACATGGCTCAGTCCATGGGCTGGGCAGACAAGCACCACCCAGACCCAAGGGGAGGAGAGGATGGACCCACTCCTGCGGAAGGAGGGCCAGCGCATTGCAGGGAGACCAGGGCTGAGGGCATTGCACCCGCAGGCCCTGCTCAGGCCCCTCGATGACTTTTCCTTAGTCAGCATTTTTATATACGAGTCATCAACCAATTAAAAACTTATTTGTTTGATTCAACAGCCAAATGTCAGCAGTTTCATAAGGTTCATTCTGATATTCGTTACAGCATCTTCCAGTCCACATTTCATCTTGTCCACATGAATGCCCAACTAATCTTATCAAAGACCTTTTTAAATAAAATCTCTACAGTTTAATCTCAAGTAGCCTGGTAGGCCTATGAAACTGGGACTAATTTGGAATGAGACAGTTCTAATGAGCCTGAGTTTCTCTGAAAACTTGAGCATTTCCCCGTTTCTAGTATTCCTCTTACTCCATGTGGTTAAAATAATTCGCACTGACTCTCTGGGGATACCTCTTGTTCTTTTAATACTCTAAATTATGGTTCATATTTGCTATTTCCTTTACTTACTTTACAGAAAGTGAAATGGGAATGATTCGACCAGGGGATGAAGCGTGGTCTAGGGCTGTAATGACCGGCCCAGTGTCACAGGGTGACTTGCTAGTGCCACAGGTGAAGTTCCACTCGACTGGAAACTGCGAGTGATGTGTGCACTGGGGCTTACAGTAGGCATGTGGGAAGGACGGGAAGGCCATGTAAACTAGCCCCCTTGCTGTTTCAAAACAAATACAAGCTACAACTCCGGCCCTGTGGGCTTTGTGAGAGGCTCTGGATTCTGTTTGGGTTACAGGTTTGACTACAGAAACTGTAGTCCTTCCTGCTGACTTCGAGAGATACCAGTAAGAAGGCACTTTGTTTAGCTTTTTAAGTGGTTGAGTCCTCTGGGCTGTGTAGCTTGGGGCAGGTTGGGATTTGGGAGAGTGACTGATGACTGAGGCCGACTCTCTGAAAGTATCAGCTTTCTTTCTAAGTTAAAGGGTTGAAGTCAGTGATCCCCAGCGTTCTTCTCAGATCCATATTTCTGTCATCCTGTGCCTCTTTAACTGCTAGAACTGTCGCTCGGAAGGGACCCTTCTCCTCTGTAGGGACCAGATTCTCTGTAGAGGAGTTGTGGCGATGGGCCCCCACTTATTGGCGGCCTGTTGAATACCAGGCACCTAGTAGATGCCTCATGTAAATAATGCCTAATCTCAGAACTCCGAGGTAAGCATTATTAGCTTCTATTTCACAGTGAGGTTCGCTAGGGAAGCTGCCTTAAAATCATGATAGGGAGGCGAGAGAAAGAACAGAATCATGCTAATGAGGGGGGATTTTGTCTTGATGGGAACAGGCAGCTGTTAAATAATTCAAAACAGGGAAGCGGCATCATCCCTCTCACAGAGTGGCCCCAGCAGCAGCGTGAGGGGCCGACTGGCCGAGCCAGGTCGCAGGAGCCTGAGTGTCCGCAGTCAGGACGGGCAGTGAGGCTGCTGCTCACGTTGAGACTCAACCTGCCGCACTCGGTTGGTCGAGGTTGGAGGAGGCCAGTGGAGATGCTGTTGGTGACGACGGGGCGTCACCCGGGTGGCTGGACGGGAATGGTGCTGTTAGCAGAGGTAGGGAAGCGGTAAGTTTGGAAGGGTCTGTGATGCACATGGTTTTAAAAGTGTTCACTTTAAAGTACCTGTGGCATGATTCGGTAGGTCGGCTCGGGAGCTGCTGAGAACATGGGAAGTTGGAGCTGGAGATGGGGGTTAGGTGTCACCCGGGTGGGGTAGGTAGCAGTTAAAGCATGTGGTTCCGTTCTGTCTTTATGCAGTCAGGTCCTTTGTTTTTCCATCTGGGACCTCATCCCATGCACTTACTGTTAAAGCTAACATATTTCACCGTCTTGTTCTGTTCTCTCTGTTTAGTTGCTTCCTTGCTGTTGCTGCCTCTGTCTGCGTTCTGATGTGGGAATGATGTTCCCATCCCTGTGCCCCACTCGCACCCCCAGCAGCGTTCAGGACGGAGGGGCAGAGGCTGCCGCCGCCTGGCTCAGGAGGGTTTGCTTTAGACCCGGCTCTGAGTGGGGGACGGGGTCAGTGGGGTCCAGCAAGTGTGGGTCCTGCAGAGGCACCTCGTTTCCCGAGGCAGAGTTAGCAGAGTGTGGAAAGGACTGGAGCTTGCAGAGGTTCTTCTGTTATCCAGTTCTACCTTCCTTGTAATTTGTATATTTCTTTACAAACGTTGGCATTAAATTCTGACCATATTAATTTTCACTGTATGTTTCTTCCTCTCTGTGTCATTAGAGATATTTAGTGAAGACTGGGGGACTGCCCAGATCCAAAATACAACTTTGTCCCAGTAAAGTCAGTCCGTTTTCACATGTCCTGTTACTGCTCTTTTCAGGTGAACTTCTGGATCCGTGTGGTTACATTGACCCCGAGTCTCCGGTTGTACAGCTCGGTTCCAATTTCACTGCGGTCTGTGTGCTAACGGAGAAATGCGTGGATTACTTCCACGTCGATGCCGACTACATCTTCTGGAAGACAAACCATGCCACGGTGCCTCCCGAGCAGTACACCGTCATAAACAGAACAGCGTCCAGCGTCACACTCACAAACGTGTCCTCGCTGAGCATGCAGCTCACCTGCAACGTCCGCACCTTCGGGCAGATCGATCAGAATGTCTATGGCATCAGAATCGTCTCAGGCTGTAAGTTTGTTCACGTCTAATTCAGACTTTGCCATGGCTGTTGAGTTACATTTTTAATGCTGTGTGTTAGTCTCTATGAAATCCAGTCACTTGTTGCGTCAGTGACTTCAGGACATATTTGTTTTATAAATGGGCTTAGAAGTGGAACTGTAGTTTCATTACTGACATGTAGAAAAACCCCAAAAAACTAACAAGGAACACAAGTGTTATATTTTCTCTGAAAGCCAAGGATCTGTCATTTTTCTAGAAAAATCTTTTCACATGAGACCTCTCCCCAAAAAGAGTTGTTGAATTGAAATCTGTAAATTTGTTCATAGTAATTTCAGTAACCCTCAGTCACTAAGAAAATGCACAATAAGCGGCCTCCTACAGGGGGCAAGTAAATGCTGGAGAAAGTCCTTTGGTGTCAGAGTAAATAAGCAGCAGGACCCCAGAGTAGGTCATCCAGCCTCTGGCTCCCCCAGACTGTGACGTTGCCATGTACCCCGCTTCCGGCAGAGTTCGGGAAGCCAGCAGGAAGAGAAATATAAATGAGTCATTTTTGCTTCCTTTAGTTTCCTCTTACTAATATGCAAATATTACTTTTTAAAATACACTTAATGGAGAAATCAGTTGATACTGTTACCTAGTTATAAATGAAAGCTGGTTATATGTAGAAAATTAATTTGAAGCATACTAATTAATGATACTTAGAAATACCATTACTTCTTTCTAGAAAGAGGTCTGGGTTTAAATAGGAAAGAAATAAATTTTTAGGCACCAGTCTTTCCTTATGTCCATACTTTTGCTGGGCTTTTTTTCTATCTAGTTTAGGTCGTAGATTTCATGGGTAGTCTATACATTGCATGTCATAAAGCTTTTTGACAGTTGCTGATTTTCCCGTTTAGTGCCTCCAGAAAAGCCCAGGAATCTGAGCTGCGTTGTGAACGAGGGGAAGAGAATGACATGCCAGTGGGACCCCGGGCGGGAACCGCACCTGGAGACGAACTTCACCCTGAAGTCCGAATGGCAAGTCACACAGTGGTTGTGTGTTGAGTTTATTAAGTTATCATTTGTGCTGGGATTTTTATTTTGCCCAGTAGTAAGGTTAAATGCAAATTTTTAAACATTTTATTTAACCTTTTACATTAGAACATCTGAAACTTAGAAAGAGCAGTGTAATGAACCCCCACGCCCACCGTCGCTTCAGTGGTGATCAGCTCGTAGCCAGTGTCTTACGTGCCCCACTCAGGTCGTCTGAAGAAAGTCTCAGGCATTGTGTCACCTCACCCACGGACACCTTAGTGCATGTCTCTAAAAGATAAGGCCGGCGCGGCTCAGTGGTGGAGCGTTGACCTAGGATCCAGGAGGTCGGGGTTCGAGTCCCGGTCGGGGCACAGGCCCGGGTTGCGGGCTGCAGCAGATCAGTGACTCTCGTCATTGATGTTTCTATCTCTGTCTTCCTCTCTCTGAAATCAATAAAGATATATTTTAAAATAAAATAAAAGATAAGGCCATTTAAAAAAGACATAACTGCATACCCTTATCACACCCAGGTATAATTGAAGTGCTTCAGTGTTGCCATCATATCCTCAGTGTTGAGTTTCCCCGGTTGTCTCATAAATACACGTATTTTCACATTAGCTCAAATCAAGATGTAAATAATCCTCGTACGTTGCAGATTGATCTGTCTTGTCTCTTAGCTGTAGGTTCCACCTGCTCATCTTTTCTTTGTGATTCAGTTGTTAAAATAATAGTTTACATTGTTTTACATTTCTGTCCCTTTATTTCCTAAAAATTGCTATTAGATCTGGACACTTGATCAATTCCAGCTTTGATTTTTTTTTTTTACCAAAAAACAAACATTCCTGTGAACGTTACTGACAGGAGTGGCGTGTCCTCCCGTCATAAACCCCACATAACGTTTGATCGCTCCCTCTGGCGCTAAGATCGAGCATCGGTTTTGGGTGTTGTCAGCCTGATCATTATAAAATTCCCATTAGTCTTTGTCACACAGGAAAGTTGAAAGAATTTTACAGTGTATGCTTATAAATACCCATCGACTAGATTCTACAATTACTATTTTACCACATTTGCTGTCACATATCTGTTTCTGTGCAACGTTCTCTCCATCCAAACATGTCAGCACACTCGTCAGTAATTAGACGTAAGTCAGTAACGTTCACAGGAATGTTTGTTTTTTGGTAAAATTTATGTATATCTTAAATATACTTACATATCCTAAGTATGTCATTTAGTGAGTTTCACTGGTGTGCACACCTGTGGCTCGCACCCGACAAGATGCCCTCGGGCCCG